GGCCCTCCGAGGAGCAGGCCCAGCCACTGTGTATATAGCAGATAATGGACCAAAACATAAGAAAAGAAATAGCCCAAGGAAAATTAGCCCCGCAACAGCACGCATGCACACTAGTAGAAAACAGGGCATTTGTCCCGGTTCGTAAGGGCCTCTAGTCCCGGTTCTTGAACCGGGACTAATAGGTCGTTACTAATGCCTCCCTCCTTTAGTCCCGGTTCGTACACGAACCGGGACAGATGAGCCTCCACGTGGCCGCTGCGGGCAGCCCAGGCAGGGGGGCCTTTGGTCCCGGTTGGTGACATAAACCGGGACCAAAAGGCATCCACGCGTCAGAAGCTGACTGCAGCTGAGGTTTTTTTTGAAGTGGCTGGTTTAAGGGTTTTGGGGGTTAATTTAGGTTGTTATTAGCTAGCTAATAGAGAGAAGTGTCCTCTCTTATATCTTCGTTCTTGATTTACCAACGCTACTGCTATGTTCATTTCACCTGCTGACATATAATAACTCTTCATGCTCGCATCATACGTCATCATATATAATAACAAGTCCTACTAATCATACATCATCATACAACTTCTACTCGTTATTAATAACAAGTCATACGATCATCATACTCATAGTCATTGAACCCAACCCTACATAATTGTTCTTAGTACATGATCATCAGTATCAGGTAGGACCTAAACACACTTAATTAAGATAAAATAGCATAAAACAATATAGACCCTGACTTCCATTATGAAGAATGAAGATCATCCTGTCTCCAATTCTTGTGCTTCGCTTCCTTTTGCTTCCAAGAAGCTCCTTACGACTGTCCATACATTTTTTCCATTCTTTGATTGGCATGTCTCCACTTCCTTTAGAAATCCGGTAGGACGACCTGGTTGTATGTTCAAAACATCAAGGCGACCTTGCATATACATCAGATGAGGCACACAATCATTCGGGGTTATCTGTTGAAAAACATAGTAATAACTTCGTAGTTAGCAATGATGTACTAGTTTTAGAAGTATGCAAAAAGATGCACGGATGTCATAATAGTAAAAAATCTTACCAGGGTATCCATGTAGTTACCGTAGTTCAACGCGTGCACTAGTGGCACGTATTGACCATAATGTTGAGGAGTTCGATTGTAGACATTGTAATTCTCAAGATCGGTATAAAATGCGATTAGATGATTTTTCTCCTTATAAGTTAATTCGAAGCCATCGGTGTAGTGGATTTTATCTACCATCTTCCGCACATTCTTGGAAGAATGAAAATAAGCTGTCAATGGAAATAAGTTGTCAACTATTTTGAAATAAACAATAGAAATTACTTAATAACTATGTTTGAGAAGCTCACATGGGGGAAGAATTGGAAGTGTATCCACAAGGACCCAAATGTCGATATTGTCTTTCTCGATTGTAGGATCACCAAGATCCATCGTGATAAGCATACCCTCATCAAAACCATACATCTTGCAAAGTGCTTCCCAATTTTTGCAACCAAAATGGGTTACACTCTCAGCATTGTACAACTTTACTTCAAAATCCACACCATGATGGGTCCTTAGGTGAATTTTTTTTGGTTTCCATACTTTCATGGTATTCAAAACTCATCATCTCCAAGACATAGCGTCTTGCATAGCATGGGATAAGCTAGTCGAATTGGAAAAGATGAAAAATACACGTTAAAATAGTTGAAGTCGTGCTTAATTAAGAAAAAAAAACTATTATCGTCGTTGCGTACCTTATGAACATCGAAGGTCTCCTCGAGTTTAATTCTGAAGCGCCGATCTTCGTCCAGCTCAAGGAACCTGTCGCACATACCTCGGTCGTCATGGCACCAGTCGCACTCCCCCGGGCGGTTTTCGTCGTCCGGGTACCACATTTCCGGCCTATGTTCATAATTCAAATATTAAACTTGTACAATTAAATATATGTACTAGAAAACCTAAATTAGATCATTATTATTAATCATGGGTTGACTATCGGTGATGGTAGCTCCTCCTTTCATTCCCGAGTGCATTATTACACCAAATTGTCTAGCACTCGGGAATGAAGGAGAAGCTACCCCCACGATGGCGTGGATGGTGGAGGGGCTCTTCAATTTTAGCATTCAAAGTAGGAGTACTTTTCCAATATGAGCATTCAATAAGCAAAACCAAATCGTAAAATAAAGTAGTATTCAAATTAGCATGCATTCAATTATAACCAAAAGTACATCATCTCTTGTGTCCGTACATCGTCGAATATTATCACTAATACTCTTCGAATACTATCATACATATAGCATCGTCAATACAGCTAGAACCGTAGCGCCCGACGGGTATCGTCGCGGGCGGTGGACACCCAAAGATAAGGAACCATCACAGGAGCATAGCTCCAGTGAGATCCCTGAAGAACCTGCCAGGTATTGTCAAACCTGCCCTCCAACGCAACCATGTAGCGACGGACGTGCTCGTCCTCCTCGCTGACACGGTGACGTACCACCTCCGCGGTGTCCGGAAGCCTCGGCACCGTCACTGGCCCACGCGACCGCCACCAAACAAGGATCGGGTCAACAACGGGCTAGCTCCTCACCAACCTACATCCCCCGAAAGGTAGCACCTCCCAATACCAGCCCGGCGGAGCCCAGTCCCGGACATGGCCCTGATTAAGCAGGCCTCCACCGCCGAGTCGACGACGAGGATGCGGGATAGGCATCATCGACGTTGATGCGGGAACTACTTCTATATATAGTAAAATAAATAAGTTTTATTAATTAAATCAACTAGTTCAACTACTAAGCACTTAGTATAAACAAATAAAGTAGTACTTACTAAAAATAAACTACTTCTATATATAGTAAAATAAAGTAGCTGATTAAATCAACTAGCTAGTTCAACTATATATTAAGCACTTACTATAAATAAAATAAATTAGTACATACTAAAAATAAACTAGTTTAACTATAGTTCTATTATTTTTCTAACTAATTATATTAAACACTTTCTCTTCTTATTTTCCTTTTTCCTCTATTCTAAATATGAATATATTCATAAATGACTTTGAACATGCACAATTTTCCTATACATACATAATATGACATATACATAAATTGACAAAGAAAATTCTATGAACAAAAAAATCATTAAAATGCTATGAACAAAATTACAACAGAAAAAAATCAAAAAATTCTATGAACAGAAAAAATCATAAAAAATTGACATATTCGATCTCTGCATATATATGAACATACAAACATGCATATTCAACAATAATATCACCAAAAAAATCTATTAATAGAAAAAAATCTAACACAATATGAAAAAAAAAATATGAACTACACATCTAAATTTCTACACATCTAACAAAACAATCTATGAACTACAAAAAAATCTAACAAAAAAATCTAAGAAATATATCTAACAAAATCTAACTCAATTAACTACACATCTAAATTATACTACACATCTAAATTAACTACTACATCAAATTAAATTAGCAAAAAAAATTGCTCACGGGATGGCGACGGTGTGAGGGGCGCGGCGAGGGCGACGGGCAGGGGACGGCGACGGTGCGAGAGCGGCGGCACGGCGACGGTCGACGGTGAGGTGCGGCGCGGGGCGGGGCGGCGACGGGCAGGGGCCGGCGGCGTCGCGGGGCACGGGGCGCGGGGCGGAGGGTGGCAACGGTATCGGGGTGGCGCGGGACGACGTCGGGGCGGCGCGGGACGGCGCGGGGTGACGACGGCGACGGCGAGGCGGAGACGGGCAGCCTGGCGGCGTCGGGCGCGGGGAAGAACGAACTGAACCAAATTTTCACGAGTGCTGCTTATATAGGCAGAGTATTGGTCCCAAGTCCTGGTTGGTGCCACCAACTGGGACCAAAGGCCACTTTTCAGCACCCCAACCGGTACTAAAGGGTGGGCATTGGTACCGGTTGGTGCGACGAACCAGGCCCGAACATTAGCCTTGTTTTCTACTACTGGCAGTTGTTGGCTTCCCAGCTGTTGCGATCAACGCGATTTTATCGCTGCCAAACGCATCGTGCGATCTCCCTACACCGTGTGAGTCTCTGCCT